TGATTTCAGTTGCTTTCTTGGCTCACGTTGTATCAGCAGAGGGTATTCAGGTGGATCCTAGGAAGATTGAGGCAGTTTAGAACTGGCCTAGACCCATCTCAGCTATAGAGATCCGTAGTTTTTTGGGATTGGCAGGTTATTACCGTCGGTTTGTGGAGGGGTTTTCATCTATAGCAACCCCGTTGACCAGATTGACCCAGAAAGGTGCCCCATTCAGGTGGTCAGACTAGTGTGAGGCGAGCTTCCAGAAGCTCAAGGAAGCTTTGACTACGGCACCGGTATTGATGTTACCCACAGGTTCAAGATCGTATACAGTATATTGTGTCATATCCCGTATTGGTCTTGGTACGGTATTGATGCAGGGTGCCAAGGTTATTGCATATGCTTCGCGGCAGCTGAAGGTTCACGAGAAGAATTATCATGTTCATGATCTAGAGGTGATAGCCATTGTTCATGCGCTGAAGATTTGGAGGCACTATCTTTACGGCATGCCATGTGAGGTATTCATGGATCATCGGAGCTTGCAATATTTGTTCAAGCAGAAGGAACTCAATTTGAGGTAGAGAAGGTGGCTGAAACTATTGAAAGACTATGATATCACCATATTGTATCATCCCGGGAAGGCCAATGTGGTGCCCGATGCTTTGAGTAGAAAGTCAGATAGTATGGGTAGCCTTGCTTATATTCCAGTTGGGGAGAGACCGCTTGCATTGGATGTTCAGGCCCTGGCCAACCAGTTCGTGAGGTTGGATGTTTCTGAGCCCAGCCGTGTTCTAGCTTGTACAGTTGCTCGGTCTTCTTTGTTTTAGCATATCAGAGATCGGTAGGATGACGACCCTCATTTACTTGTCCTTAGAGATATAGTGTGGCACGGTGGTGCCAAGCAGGTTACTGTTGGAGATGACAGAGTTTTGAGGATGCAGGGGCATATTTGTGTGCCTAATGTGGATGGACTTTGTGAGTTTATTATTGAGGAGGCCCACAGTTCCCGGTATTCTATTCATCTGGGCGCCGCCAAGAAGTATCAGGACTTGCAGCGGCATTATTGGTGGAGGAGGATGAAGAAAGACATAGTTGCATGTGTAGCTCGGTGCCTAAATTGCCAGCAAGTAAAGTGTGAGCATCAGAGACCTGGTGGTTTACTTCAGAGGTTAGAGATTCCTGAGTGGAAGTGGGAGCGTATCACTATGGATTTTGTTGTTGGACTCCCACGGACTCAGAGGAAGTTCGATGCAATTTGGGTCATTGTGGACAGGCTGACCAAGTCAGTGCACTTCATTCCTGTGGCAGTTACATATTCTTCGGAGCGGTTGGCAGAGATTTACATTCGTGAGATCGTCCGTCTTCCCTGTGTGCCCATGTCTATCATTTCTGATCGAGGTACGCAGTTCACCTCGCACTTCTGGAGGGCAGTACAACATGAGTTAGTATGCGGGTTGAGTTGAGCACAACATTCCATCCTCAGACGGACGAGCAGTCCGAGCGTACTATTCATATCTTGGAGGATATGCTCCGTGTATGTGTCATAGACTTCGGAGGATCGTGGGATCAGTTCTTTCCCCTTGCAGAGTTCGCCTACAACAACAGCTACCAGTCGAGCATTCAGATGGCTCCCTATGAGGTATTATATGGTAGGCGGTGCCGGTCGCCAGTTGGGTGGTTCGAGCCGGGAGAGGCTCGATTGTCGGGTACAGACTTAGTACAGGATGCCTTGGATAAGGTCAAGATTATTCAGGATCGACTTCGCACCGCTCAGTCCAGGCAAAAGAGTTATGCCGACCGCAGAGTTCGTGATGTTGCATTTATGGTCGGGGAGAGAGTGCTGCTTCGGGTATCACCCATGAAAGGTGTAATAAAGTCCGAAAAGAAGGGCAAGTTGAGCCCTAGGTATATCAGACCTTTTGAGATTCTAGAGAGGGTAGAAGAGGTGGCTTACAGGCTTGCGTTGCCACTTAGTTTAGCAGTTGTTCATCCGGTATTCCATGTGTCCATGCTTCGAAAGTATCAAGGGGATCCGTCCCATGTATTAGATTTCAGCTCTGTCCAGTTGGACAAGGATTTGACTTACGAGGAGGAGCCGGTGGCTATTCTAGCCCGACAAGTTCGCCAGTTGAGATCAAAGAGTTACCCTTCAATTCGAGTGCAATGGAGAGGTCAGCCTATTGAGGCAGCTACTTGAGAGTCCGAGTCCGATATGCGGAGTAGATATCCCCACCTTTTCACCAACCCAGGTACTTTTCTATGTCCGTTCGAGGAAGAACGGTTGTTTTAGAGGTGGAGAATGTGATGACCCAAAAGGTCATCTTATGTTTTAGAACTCGATTTTGCGCTCTTAAGCCTTAAAAATTTCATTTTTACCCTTCTCGATTTGTGTGCACAGTCCGGGCATGTTTCCGAAAAACTTTTATGTTGAAAATTGATGAAAATAAAAATTTATACCTTAAAAGTTGATTTTAGATGATTTCGGTCAACATTTTTGGTAAAAGGGCCCGGATCTATGTTTTGACAGTCCCGATGGGTTCGTATCGAATTATGGGACCTGGGCGTATGCCCGGAATCGAATTCGGAGGTCCCTAGCTCGAGTTATGAATTTTTAATGAAAATTAATAGTCTGAAAATTTATTTATTTTTAAGAATTGATTGATGTTGGACATTGTTGGTACCGGGTCCGTATTTTAGTTTCGGAGCCCGGTACAAGTTCATTATGATATTTAAGACTTGTCTGTAAAATTTGGTAAAAAACGAAGTTGATTTGACGTGATTCGGATGTCTAGTTGAGAAGATAGGAATTTTAAAGTGTTCTTGAGAATTTCATTTGATTTGGTGCTAAATTCGTAGTTCTAGGTGTTATTTTGGCGATTTGATCGGGCGAGNAGTTGAGAAAATAAAAATTTTAAAGTGTTCTTGAGAATTTTATTTTATTTGGTACTAAATTCGTAGTTGTAGGTGTTATTTTGGCGATTTGATCGGGCGAGCAAGTTCGTATGATATTTTTAGACTTGTGTGCATATTTGGTTTGGAGCCCCGAGGGCTCGGGTGAGTTTCGGATAGGCCACGGGATGTTTTGGACTTAGAAAATCTAGTATTTTGCTGCAGCAGGTGTTCTGGCATGTCCTTCTTCGCGTTCGCGAAGGTATTCTCGCGAAGAGTAAACTGGTGAGGTCGAAATTTCTTCTTCGCGAACGCGAAGGCCTGGTCTCGAACGCGAAGTGATGGGGGAATTACCCTTCGCGAACACGACCGGCTCATCGCGAACGCGAAGCACTTGGGGACCTGGGGGAGGGTTGGTCGTTCCTTCATCGCGAACGCGAACGATGTCCCACAAACGCGAAGGCCATGGGGTAACCATGGCAAACGCGAGCCTGTTCTCGCGAACGCGAAGGCTTGGCAGCCAATGCTCTTCGCGAACGCGACAGTGGCCTCACGAATGCGATGCATACTGTCGCCCAGCACTTAACAGAATCCAAACACGGGATTTAGCCAAAAATATTCATTTTTCTCAAAAGCCAAACGGTGAGAGGCGATTTTTCAAGAGCCATTTCTTCCCAAAGTGTTGGTAAGTGATTCTAAACCATTTTCTTTTAATTACCCATTTCATTTCATGAATTATCAACCTAAAATCAAGAGTTATCATGGTAGAATTAGGGGTTAGGGAAGGAACTAGAGATTTCGAAAATTTGGGGATTTAGACCTCAATTTGAGATCGGATTCCAAAACCAATTACATATTCGGGCTCGGGGGTGAATGGGTAAATGGATTTTGATCCGAACCTCGGGTTTTGACCAAGCGGGCCCGGGGTCGATTTTTCGAATTTTTGGAGAAAAATTTGAGAAATTTAATTTATGCAATATTATTGATTCCTTTAGCAATATTTGATATTATTGAGTTATTTTTTAATAGATACGAGTGGTTTGGAGGTGAATTCCAAAGGAAAAGTTATGATTGAGGATTAAGTGGCCTTCAGAGCGAGGTAAGTGTTGTGTCTAACCCTCACTTGAGAAAATTAGGAACCCCGGATTTTTTGCTATGTGAAATTCATGTGAGCGGCGTATATGTGAGGTGACGAGTACTTATGCGCCGCCAATTTACTTATTTTTCCTGTTTTCTCCCATTTTGTTTCTTATATTGTCTCTTTCATATGCCTAATTGTTACATGTTTAGACTAGTATTGTTAAGTTGATCGTTCTTATCACGTTTACAGATTTTTTGGTGATAATTGAGTATTTATTTCAAAGTTGAGATTTATATTGTGGAACCAAATGTTAAAGTAAGGTTTGTACTTGTTATTCTAACTCCCTGTTGTTGTTTATCCATTGCATTATGGTAAGGGAGAGTGCTAATGCACGAAGGGTGATGTCGTTCCATATTATGAGTGTAAAAGCACGAAGGGTGATGCCGTTCAATATTGTGAGTGTAAAAGCACGGAAGGTGATATCGTGCCATATTGTGAGTGTTAATGCACGAAGGGTAATTCCGTGCCATGATATGAGAGTTAATGTATGAAGGGTGATGTTGTGCTATTTCTATTGATTTTATGGTGAGATTGAGAGTAAAAGCACGAATGGTGATGCCGTGTATTTTTTCTTTACTGTATTTGTGCTCCTGTTGATTCATGTTCTATTGGTTGTTCCAGTTCTCATTCTGCTGTAGCTCTTTACTTCGTATTTCCCCCCAGTATGTATTCCCTTCCCGATAATTCTTGTATAGCTCTTCATTACTATTATTTGTATATGCAATGTTAAATTGTACAGGTTAATTTGTAGGTGCCTTGCCTTAGCCTCGTCACTACTTCGTCGAGGTTAGACTCGACACTTACCAGTACATGGGGTCGGTTGTACTGATACTGTACTCTGCACTTAAGGAATCTAATCCTTAGCTAGGTGATCCACTTGCTGATGATATTATAAACGACAAGAAAGGGACTTTGCAAGATCTGATTAAAAGTAGTATGTCCTTTCTACATATTCTCCCTCCTCCTCTTCCCATTTGCCCTTAAAGCACAAGAATAAAGAATATGTGTACATCCCCTCAAAGAAAAAGAATAAATATTCTCCAACTTTCAGAATCCAAAACCTTTCTCTTCCAGCTTATAAGGAGCTAGTTTAGCACTCTCTTTCCCATATCATCTCAGTTTTTTTTTTTTTTTTTAAACTTAAAATTACTTATATGTGATGGCTTCATGGACAACAAAGCAAAAAAAGAGATTTGAGGAGGCGTTGGCATTATATGACAGGGATACTCCGGATCGCTGGCATAACATTGCGAGGAGTGTAGGAGGGAAATCAGCAGAGGAAGTGAGGAGACACTATGAGCTGCTTCTCAAGGATATTATGCAAATAAAAAATGACCAAGTACCTTTGCCCAAATACAAGCCTGCTCAAACCAATGTCAGAGGTTATGCTAATGAACAGAGGTACTGTAAAATCTCAGCCCCGGCCCTTGCAACAACTAAGGCTAAACATGATTTCCTCATTGAATTAAGTATACTGTAAATCAGACACCTATAGTCTAAGGAAAGACAAAACTGTCAACTTCACGTATATGCTTATACTATTTGATTTGCAGATATCTTAGTGAAGGATGTAATTTTACCTTTTAACGTCTATTGAGCTTCCAACTGATAACATGAAATCTAATCCTACTTGCTTAAGAATAATATCACATGCATATGGTCCTATATATACATCTTAATCTTGGACCAATATATTATACAAAACACTGTTGTTTAACAATTTTTTATTGTTTTGATAAGTATCGCCACATGATGCTACAAATATTTTATTGGCTCCTTACATTCCTTGCTAACCCTTTAAGCAACTCAGGAGTGTGGCATTGTAAAGATGATTTCAGGAGTGTTTACGCGGAATAGATAAGTTTGAGTGTTATACGCTGTCAATACAAAAAATATTTAGACAATTAGGTTACCTAGCTTAGAAAATTCTATATAAGCCTTAATTGATAGTATAACCTGGTAAAAATATTAACTAACCAGCTAAAGCTATCATAAGTTTAATTTCACTAATATATATAATATAAAAATCTTTACACTGTATCAGCATGTTTTTAGGTCGGTGCCTCTCTTTTCTTCAAAAATCAATCCCGTCTCCTTGGAAGGATGATGATTTGGACATCCACATGCAATAAGTCCTGCCTGTCACATTCATATTTAGCTTATTATAAAAAAGCATATTATCTTACATTTCTTAATTAGCACAAGTAGGCTATATATCTTCTATACATGCTGCCCCTTTTTCTCTGCAATGCAATGTAAGAAGATGACAAAAGCATGAGGAATAAGGGGTATTTCTGATCCAGTTGGCAGAAATTCTGAACGCAAGTTGATAATATCCTACTGCCTTAGGCTTGGGCCATTAGTTAAAAAGTTTTCTTCAATTAAACAAAGTATTAGTCTTTTAATAAATGAATAATGTTGATCTATTCATCCTAATTTTTTTTTTTTTTTTTTTTTTTTTTACTGAACAGGCTTCTGNTTGATAATATTCCACTGCCTTATGCCATTAGTTAAAAAGTTTTCTTCAATTAGAAAAAGTATTAGTCTTTTTAATAATTAAATAATGTTGATCTACTCGTCCTAATTTTCTTTTTTTACTGAACAGGCTTCTGAAGAATCTAAAGCTACAGTGAGGAGAAACCTGCAGCGATGCTCAACAGTCAATACCATCAGACGTTCTGTACAAAATGCAATATGCAAAAAAAAGAAAAAGGAGCAGCATAATTAGCAAATTCATCTCTAAAGTGATTTGCATCTTAGTTTTAGTCCTCCTAGCCTGATGTTTCTTTTGCCACTTTATATACCCAGTTTATGAAGAAAACAAAATGTACTACTATATTTTCGTGTGTGTTTTTGTTTAGTCCAAAATATGTAAATGAAACAAAATATGTTTCCTTTTCTCCTTCTCCTTACTAATACGTTTATCTTTCGGCCGCCAGAAACTAACCAAAACAGAGGGACACTTTCACTTTTCTTGCTTTTTTCTTATTCTAGTTGAATCCTACCTAAAGGAATAATTTAACTACGAAATTTTACGACTTAACGTAACTAGAATTAAAGCATATATATTTGAACAACATTGCTTCCAGAAACCATGTCTAAAATAAAAGAAGAAAATCTTGACCGTTCATTTAGTGATTGACCGATCCCTTCACTCCAATTGCCACGACAAAAAATGTAAAACTGGTAATTATAATCAAGGTGTGTGATCTTGCATGGGTTGCATATTTACATTTTAAAAACATTAAAATGCTATGACCTCATATATAGATTACTGTGTCGAGGGGCAGGAAAAATCGTTTGACAAACCGAAAAGGTAGAATGGAGATGCGGGATATCGATCCCCGTACGTCTCGCATGCTAAGCGTGTTAAACTTTGAAGTTTCAACAGATATCAGACTCAAATCCATGAATACTAAGATGAGTTGGACAAGAGTGGTGTATAAACTTATTTTTCATTCTAACTCCAAATATGTAAGGATGAAATTTCACCGATATCTGATAAGCAAAAGAGATAAAAGGCGGATTCATGATTTATACTAGACGTAAATCCATCCTTTATTAATTTAATACTGAACTCATTAAACTTCTAAAACTATAGGTGGATTTGATATATGTTGAAATTTTAGTGGGATTTCACGCACCATGCACACACACACAAACACAAACACACACATTCCACGTCAAAAAGATTAGATTAAGATGAAACCATTGTCTAAGAGTTGCACGATAAGAGAGAGAGAGAGAGATAAATTTGGTTAGATGCGAACTTTGTTTTTATTGTAAAAACTCCAAATATAAAGATGAAGACACATATACTACACGTATTTCTAATTAAGGTAATATTGTCTCAGTAAAAAGTTAGAGGCTACAAGATATTATCCATGTGATGATTATCGCTTTTGTTTAGTATGGTTTATCACATATAAGTCAGCAGAGTAAACGCTACGTTGATTATACNTATATATATATATATATATATATATATATATATATATATATATAATGGCGTTGAAATAAAATATAATATTTGTTTAAATAATGAAAATAATTTTTCTTACACTAACATAGTAATTGTATTCAATATCTTATAAATATGCATAGATGATGAATTTAGTTAAATTAGTTGTACATTATTTTGTAATTATATATATCTTATAATATGATATACAAATATGTTAAATTGTGTCTCACCTGAAATCTCTTTATGAATACATTTTGTCTTCTACTATTTCATCCTTATTTCTTAATGTTTACATTTGAACCAATTTAATTCTTAATATTATAATTGATTTTGTTTTATATTCTGATTTATTTTAATTTAAATATTTAATCATCTTTTTTAATTATAAAGAGAAATAATTTAGTATTTGGGGATTTAAATTATTAATATTAGCTCATACCATATATAAATATTTAATTATGACTATATTTTTATCTACAAAAATTCTTTTTAAAAAATGATAAAATCCGAACTTTTGCACTTTATGTTTGTCGTAGTGTTAATTATAAATAAAAGTATAAGTTTTTTTAAAATAAAAAAATATTACTTCTATATATCTAACTTAATAAGAAAAGAAATCGCCACATACAAGTGTTCTTAGTCATTGATATATTGAAAATATCATTTTATATACAAATACTGAATAGATTTAAAGGAATTCCGATTTTTATCTTAGGTTTTCTATGATGAAAATTTTCATCTATAAGTTCCCTCTCAATAGTTTTAAACTTTTGTAAATAAAAATAATTATTTTTAAAAATATCTAATTGAATTGCTAAAAGATTAACTTTTTGTACAACCATATATTTATAACCTCCCTTTAATGTTACTTATTTATCCTCCTTTCTATCTTTATATATTTTTTTTTACATGGAGTTAAAATTGTCACTCATGGACGTGCTCTATCAACCCACGCAAGAAAACATACTACTTTTTCATGAACTTCAATTGACCTAATAGACATTTATAATTTTATAACACTAAAATATGTGAGAGAAAAAGGACTCCTACCTAAAAGGAATTGGGCGAAATTTTTGGTGTTATTTTTCTTCTGCAAATTTGTTGTATCAAACAGTCGAAATAATAAATGATTTAATATACAAATTTTAGTAAATTTTGAAGTCTTAAATATTTAAAAATAATTAACTGACTATTTTATCTAGTATGAAATTAATTTTTTAAAGATAAAAAAGACGAATGATAATTCGCTAAGGGGCGCGACGCGCGTGTACCTAAATACCTGCATCTGTTTTAAAAATGTCTTATACTTTCTTTAGAACTTCATAGTGTTTTAAAGAACATATTGGATGTGTAAAGAGTTTTATTGTTCTACAGAGTAGTTAAAAAAAGCAAAAAATTAATTAAGTAGGCTTTCGAATGTAATATATTGTCTTAGGCATTCCAGTTGAAGATTTTGCAAAGTTTATTAATTAAGTAGTATATTTCTGTTGAAAGTTTTCAGATTCTTGTTTTGGTTAAAGTTTTCGGGAGGAAAAAAGGCTTCAAAAGCAAAACATAGAAAAAAAATATACCATATTTGTTTTGTGGAAATATTTCAATCATTCTTAAAAGATTGAAAAAAAAGGAAACAAAAAGCTTATGGCAAAGAGGCATTTCATGTCAAAGGTCTTCGTTACTTAAGGTTTATTTTAGAATACCGAACCTCTATTTCTCTTTGTGGAAATTCAATCTTAAATATATAATTTAAATAAGGAATTTTTTTATAAAAATAAAATCTTATTGGATTTATTCCTAAATAAAAGGAGTTCCTACAAGTTCAAAATTCTAAAAATTAGGAAAATAATTAAATTACTATTTTGTCTAGTGAGAACTCTACTTTTAAAGGATAAAAATACAAACGATATTTTGCTAAGGACACTCGTGCTTTTAATATAATATATAGATATATGCGAAAAACTTGTTATGAGTAGGAATCGAAACGTAGAAGACAAAATGTGCATTAACATAAAGGGAAAACATTAAAAAATCAAAAGAAATATTTAAAGTAAATCTCTGTATGCAAATAGAGGGGTTATCCTAATTTCGCCTAAAATAGACGAACCAACTGATATGTTAGAGGTAATAAATGATTTAGGTCGTCTTTGACCTGAATTATTTAGTCGTCTCACTACGAATTCCAGCAAATAATAGTGTCCAGCAAAAACTTGCACGAATTTCTAGCACAACACGTCAGGGTTCAATGTTGCGACAAAAAATCTCACTATAACCACGTAATCCAATCCGCTAGACGAATCAACAAACATAAATAATCACAGAATAATATAGATAAATGCGGAAATAAATTTGAAATCAACATCAAAGTACAAAAATGCTACATCAATCCCCAAAAACTAGTAGTACAAATTATGAACTAATAAATGGAGTACACCATATAGTCTCGAAATATAGAAGTACTGTTGTCACGATCCGAAATTTTCACTCTCGGGACCGTGATGACGACTAACATTTTACTTGTTAGGCAAGCCAACGTTAGAATAGTTTTAAGCTATTTTTTAACAAATCGAATTAACTAATGCCAATTAAACTGAAGTAATTGTAATAGAATTGAAATAAAATGCAAAAAGTCATAACAACCAAAATATCTAAATACAACCCAAAACTGGTGTCACAAGTGCATGAGCAACTAGAATAGTACATATAATGGTCTGAATGAAAGTAAAACTGTCTGAAGAGAAATCAATAGCTAGGATAAGGGAGAAGGGGACTTCAGGGCTGCGAACGCCGAGCAACTGTACCTCAAGTCTCCGTCAGATGTCCGATCCGAGCAATCTAATGACCGCTGGTGGGACCGACTCTAAAGTCTGCACAAGAAGTGCAAAGTGTAGTATGAATACAACCGACCCCATGTACACTGTAAGTGTCGAGCCTAACCTCGACGAAGTAGTGACGAGGCTAAGGCGGGTCACTTACAATAACCTGTACGCAGTATAATAATAATGACAGGAAAGGAAATATAGAAAAATAAAGCAGTGAACTCATGACAATAACCTCAATCCTCGAAAACCAGTAAACTCAGAAATACAAATCTCCAGAATCTCGTATGAAAACACCGAAGCCAACATAATACAATAAGGAATACAAAACACATAAACCGTTGCGGCGCGCAACCCGATCCCACCGTAAAATTACGATCCTCCCTTATTCCACCATGTCAATATCAATAATAACAAGTAAAATATATTGCGGTGCGCAACGCGATCCCACCATATAATCAGAGTCAACATCATAATCCTCCCTTACTTCACCATATCAATCCTCCCTTATTTCATCTGTTGCGGCGTGCAACCCGATCCATAAACACAAATCGATAAATGAAATCAATTCCACAACTCAAATCACAAGAATCTATACGATTGACGAATATGAAAGCAGAACCATAAAGGAAATCTAGTCCCAAATCAAGAATTTGCTATAATCAATACTAAGCAGTAAGACAAGTCAAATAAATGACAACTAAAGGGTACAAGCAAGTCAATTAAGGCAAGTAGGAGTTAATCGTGGAAGCATGAGAGAATCTAACATTTTTAATACGAGAATAATAAATGACAAGTAGCAAATTAAGGCATAGGAATCAATTAAAGCATGTAATAGTTAAGACATGGAATAAAATAATTAATGAAATACGGAAAAGCATAAAAACAAGTATTTTGACGGCGTATATACACTCGTCACCTCGCATATA